CCACCCACACTCCCCCCTCCCCTTAAAAAAAAAAAAAAAAAAAAAAAAGAAAATCTGCTTAAAGACACCTGAGACTTAGGTCTCTGAAAATCTACATAAACCGACACCAACCGTGGGATTCTGTTCATCAGTTTTCCTTGGTAACAGAGTATGTTAAAAACCCAATCAGGCAAACAACAGTCATTTATAGTCCCTTCAGCCCTTAAGGAGCATAAAGTTGCTAAGGAGAACATTCTGGAATAGTTGTAGCTTCCATGAATAAATTATAGAGTGAGAGGTGGCAGTGTTTGGATGCTCATTTCCCAGATACGAGATGGAGAATTTAATTAACTTGCAAGACTAAATGCTCGGGAATGGGAATTGAATCAGATTAAATTTCATTTAAAATTGCCTTAGCTGCTTGTAATTGGTGTCTGATTTCAAGGCATTTCAATGGAGTAAGTGGTATGAATTCTACTTTGGAAAATTATAGTCAAGCCAGTGGTACTTCTAAAGTCCATGTGTGAACCAATTCATTGGCCTTTTCAGTTCTGTGTCTGCAGCACATGCCTCATCTCTGGGAGTCTGCCTGAACATCTCATGTATGTCCTACTTCCCTTTACCCAGCCTCAACCCCTGGAGGGCCCCCAATTTATCTGTTTATTGCCTATTTACTCTTTCCTCTTAAAAACTAATTAAGCACTAATGTTTCTCCAGGAAGACTGTTCCGAGCCCCTGGCTCAGGTAAGAGCTCTTGGCCATAAGAGCAGGTACTCAGATATTTCTTTTTCATCACCCTTGTTTGCCCTGTTTGTTTAATGTCCGTATTCCTTGCTAGACTCTAAGTTGCGTTCAGGCAGAGCCTTGCCTGGCTCTATTTTCTTGGTGCCTTTCTCTGTCCTAACTCAGGAAAATGTTCATGATAGTCATCATTTGAATTGATATTACTTAGACATCTGTTTCTCCTGCCTTGATTCAGAAAAACCACAGCTCTAGCTGGCCCATTTCATTGTTTTCTGTTGAACAAGCTTCACTGGAGGATTGGTTTCTGGTTGGATTGTGTGTGTGTGTATCCAGAGCCTCCGGCCTCTTACCATCAGAAATTCTTCTCCAGGCTTTTCTGTGTTGGAAGTTCTTCTAAAGAGAATTTCCAAGATGCACAACTAATGCCATACCAACATCAGAGAACTATTACTTTTAAAAATGGTGCTTCTTCACACACATCTGCTCACACATCTGAATTAAATGTTATTAGAAAACTATAGCACTCCTGAAGCTACAAAAACCTGTTGTGGAAAACTGGAAGAAGTGTGCTTACATACTTTGAAGGGTCTGGTTGGCTACTGTTAGAAGAGAGAAGGTCGTTGTGTTGCTGCTTTTATCTTTCTGAAGACTTTGATGAAGCATATCCAGGGGACTTAGCCCTTCAAGTCACTGGACATCCTGTGGAGCCAGGGCAGGATTTAATGTTCTGTGACTGACAGGAGGGTGCTGAGTACTACAGCTGGTTGAGTCACAAGAAAGAAACATTTCACCAATACTCCTTCAGTGAATTCATCTGGTTTTCCTCAGTTTTGCCAGTAGGCATGCCTGCTCCCAGTACTTGAGAGACCTTCCAAGCACTTATTTCTTTATCAGAGAGTGGGCGCCCCCTAGTGGCAAATGCGAAGAACGACGGTACAAGAGGCCTGTTTTAAGTCAATAGACCTTGTAATGATGACAGCAATGGTTGGTGACTTTTGCCTAACTTTTGAAAATTTATATGTAAATTATGATATGGTAGTAAGTAGCTGTACATTAATCCTAGATTTTAAGTCTTTTGTGTATAGAATGTGCCCCCAAAGCGCTCATTTACAGGTGGAAATTGTCTCTTAATCATATTACAGTCATTCTAAAATTTTGATGTACTTAAGTATCAGCTGAGAAATCTAATTAAAACCTCTGTTTCTAGCCTCAGTTTGAGAATTTCCAGTTCAGCAGATATTTAAAGTGGCCATAAACCCATGTGTTTAAAATAAGCCCTGATGAGTTTGACCTGTGTGGCCTGTTCACTGAGAAATGCTAGCTAAGAGTGTGGGTTTACAAACTCAAGTAGCAGCAAGCTTGTGCCATGTCTGCCAGGACTGTGATGGTAGGGTCTATTCCTTAATCACTCATAGCCTCAGTCACTCATCTGTAAAAAAGTAGTAACAACACCAAATACAAATGGCTATCACAGGACCTGAGATTCTAATACAAGGAGCTTGGTGTATATATATATATATGAGATCTGGTCATAGGAGACAGCAAGGCATGTCAGCACTTACTGTCTGCAGTATTCATCCTAATGAACTACAGGGCCAGAGAAAGTCCAGAGGGAGCCTGGACTTTCTGGATCAAAGAGGCACTACTACATCCTGGGCCCTGGGGTCTCCACAGTGAGGTGCTGCCATAAATAGAGCATCCCTTACTCAGGACAAGTATCTGTTGACCCCATGTGGACAGTCATAAAGGACAAGCAGTGAGGATTCTGAACAGCCTGTACAGAAAGGTGTTTTGAGATTAAGAGAGGGAAGCTTTATTTTTTGAAAAAACACCATTGTATTTCCCAGGCCAGATGGACAAAGGAACAATTGAAGCTCGTAGCTCTCTTATATAATTGCATTTCTGGAACAACCTCTGTTTCCTCATCTATAAAATGGGCTGATATCAATACTTTTCCTACATAGTTCTGAAGAACAAATGAAAGAAGATGTGTGCAAAACCTTTCATGTGATGATTGACAGTACTGATCTTGGAAAGTACTTTTCTCTTTCCCATCCTTTCTGTTGTGAATATAACTGTAGCATCCTTTTTAGTGAGAGATAGTAATCAGAAGAAGGGAAACAGATGATCCAGGTGTGTACTGAGATTTTAAAACTTTATCAGTGTTTTTTTTTTTTTTAAATTCATGTTTAAGACTGGCACAGTGGCACATGCCTGTAATTTCAGCAACTAGGGAGGCTGAGGTAGGAGGATTGCAAGTTCAAAGCCAGCCTCAGCAACGTAGTGAAGCCCTGAGAAACTTAGTATGACTCTGTCTCAAAGTCAAAAATAAAATAGACTGGGGATGTGGCTTAGAGGTTAAGCACCACTGGGTTCAATCCCTGGTACCAAATATGTGTATGTGTGTGTGTATGTATACATATAAGTACATAAACATACATACATACATAAACTTAAGTTATATTATTTTAAATGCATTAACATATAAAGTTTAATACACATATTAAAATCACACATTATATATTAAAAATTACACATGCAACACATATTCATGTATGTGTTTTCATATAAAATATGTGATTTTAATAATTATACTGTTGTTTACACAGTTTTATGTACTAAAAAATTGACATTTTTGTTCACGAATCAGGCAATCAATGCAGAGGTTATAAGAGTGTAAAGTAATCACTCAGAAAATTGTGAAGTCAGTGTGGATTTTCCCAGTGACACTCTTTAATCTGTGTTTGTTTTTTAAATCTCCCATGTATTCTCCAATCCTTCCTGTTTGCTTCATTTAGGTGGACTTTCCCAAGTTAATGTGATTCTACCCCTTGCCTGGGAAAGAGCCATCCTAATCATGCTATATCTAGGATGGGCCACTAGAGGGAGCCAACGCTCAGTGAGTGAGGTCAACCTAAGGGAAAGAAGTGATCAGTGGGTGTTGATCAGAGGCCAACGCTCAGAAGTTATGGGTAGCATATTTCAGATTTATTAAAAAAACAAATAGGTAACAAGTCAGAGATTTGGATAGGAATGATTTAGAAAGGAACTGAAGGCATTATTCCACAAAACATTCACAGTTGTGTGCTGGAAACAGAGAGCAGGGAAGTGTTTTAGAAGCATTTGCGGTGAACGATGGAGGGCCCAGCCTCATCATACTCCTGTTTGCTGATCCACATCTGCTGGAAGGTGGACAGAGAAGCCAGGATGGAGCCCCCGATCCAGACAGAGTACTTGCGCTCCGGAGGGGCAATGATCTGTGGGTTAGGATGAAAAGGAAAGGGCATTAATGCCATCAGGCAGCACAGGGGATTTCTACCATGGCCCACATTTTGTGGATTTGGCTGCTGTTTTCTGTGCAGTCTTGGGTGGTGAGGAGGCCGTGTACTTAGAGATACCTCACTGAACCCATTTATTGTTCTGGCTTCCTTCATGGAATCGGTTCCAAACCACCCATAGCTTTTCTCTATCACATTGTTTAACCAACTGAAAGTTGACCCCCAATCCTGGGATGACTACCAGTCCTGAGTGACCACCATATAAGCCCTGACAAACAAGTCCTCCAGTTTCCATGAGCTGTGCTTCAAAGCTCATCATGACACGTACTTTCTGTAGAACCAAACACCAGCATCTTCTAAGAAGTTTTAACTGTGCCAGAACTTTTATTCAAATCTTTTCCCACCGAAGTCCACCGCTGCTCTCAGAAATTCTCTGCCATAAGGGGACTCAGCGTCCATAGTCCCAGTTGGGAAGAACAATCCCATGGAATGGGTCCCCATTAAGCTATACTGGTTGAGTTTTCCCAGAGCTCAGGCCAGATGTGTGAGAGCATGGATACGATTATTAAGTAAATGAATGGTTTAGGAGGAGAAAACTGAATTGGACCCCAGGTCTTGTCCTGTAGCAACTCAAATAGCTAGAACTGAGCAACTCCAAATTCCACTCCAGACTGGGATTCTTCAATAGAAATGAACGCTTCAACCAACAGGTGTTTCTGAAACTGCAGTTAAAGGGATAACTTTCTTTTTTCCTTTAAGCTCTGATTGAACATTTATTTTAAAATACAAATAGCTGACATTTACTAAGCCCTCTCTAAAGACCAAGCACCATGCTAGACATTTTCCTTGAGTTATCTCACTTAATTCTCATTACTACCTTGAAGAATAAATATTAAATTGTTCCCACATTGTATATGAGAAAACAGAAGCTGAGAGAGGTGTAAGTAACCGGTCACAACCAATGCAGAGCAACTGGTCAGGGTCAGGCCCAATATTCAAACCAGGGTTCTCCTAGTTGTGGATTTTTTTTTTTTTTTTCAGGCAGTGGTTTTAGATTTCCAGTAAAGTTGCAAAGACAGTACAGAGAGTTCCCACAGTTCCCTCACCTGGTTTCATTCTTCCCTAATGGGTCATCTTACTGTCTACAGTTTTTAAAGGATCTCTGTACTCTGTTGCCATGCAGGGGGCCAAAGTTTCACTTTCAGTTCTATTCAAGAAATCAGTTTGGAGAACTAGGAATTGCCCAACTCTCCCTACAGCCTCTCTCTGTTCAGCCACCTCCCCACCTCACTAGTTTGGTGCTGAAGTGTACCCCCCAGCAGCCCCTCCCTCCTGTATGGTAGTAAGAGGTTGTGGGCTGATCCCGCAGACATCCAAGGAACACATGCCTTTCAGGAAAGCCTCTCTTCTCCCCACCTGAAGTTTTTTAGCACAGGACTTCCCAGAGGCTAGCGAGACAGAGAGAAAGAACGTGTGTTGAAGTCTAGCCCATTCTCTTATGTTGCAAATCCTTTGCTAAAGAGAGAAGGGAGTGCAAACAACAGAGAGCTTGTCGTGACTGCCTTGCATGTGTGTGAACTGCACTAGAATTGCCACTTTCGCTTCCTATGACATGGGTCAGAAGGTCTCAGTGTAGCATTCTGATTTCAGAGAGCGATAAGAGCCTCTGAGGAGTCACCAGCCAGGGGACACTTCCTTCTAAAGGAACCATCACCATTTAATCTCTGAGTTCCCTTGCTTGGAACTCAAAGCCAAAACCATTTAGGGACCTGGGTGGCTCAGGGACTGAGTCTGGTCATGCCAGAGTCATCCTGTGCTTTTGAGGCACTTGAGTCAAAAGATGTTTCAGACAGAGAGATCAAGAAAAGACTCTAATTCCTGGCCACTGGTGGTCACATTTAGCCATGAAAGAATACAAGCGACTAAATCTACAGGGTTTAAACTGCTTCAGAAATGTCTGACTCATCTGTAGTTTTAGAAAATGCTCTACATGTGAGACACCCTGTTTTTGTGATGAGGTAAAACAACAAAATATATGTTCTGAAGAGATATAGGCATGTGGGGAGCTGCATGGACCTCGATGGCAGCTGCAGAAAGAGGCTGATAAACAAGCATAAGTGTAGAACAAAATTTGTATAAAATAATGTAGTTTCTCTTATGAACTGGATTGACTTCAATAAAGTATGGGACGTGTGTAATTTTACCCACTGGCTGGCCCTGGAACCCATGAGTGCATATGACCAGGATGTGGCCTCAAAAGAGTCCTTTCCATCTGGTTATGGGGCTGACACCCCTGGTGGCATAGCCTGGGGACTGTCACTGAACAGTACCTTGATCTTCATGGTGCTGGGCGCAAGGGCCGTGATCTCCTTTTGCATCCGGTCTGCAATGCCTGGGTACATGGTGGTGCCCCCTGAGAGGACGTTGTTAGCATAGAGGTCCTTCCTGATGTCAATGTCACACTTCATGATGCTGTTGTAGGTGGTTTCATGTATGCCAGCAGACTCCATCCCTGAAAAGAAACATAGGCCATAGTCCTTGGGTGGGGGCAACACTCAGGTTAGACAGAAAGACCTGACTTGAGCACTTGGATGATCTTACACAGGATGAGCCTAGGTAGGTGTAATAATCTAGAAGTCACTCATCTGAGAGACCAAAAGAGTCTTGTTATGCTCCATGTCCTTCTGCCTCTGTCTAATGGGGAAGTCCTGTTGTACCTCCACAATGGGACTACAACATGCTAATACCAATTTTTAAATAGATGCTCTACTGTACATGATTTAAATCAGAGACAAAGCTTTCAGATTCCCTGTAGAAGGTCCCACACCTAGCCAATGTCACAGTCATCACTCAGAACTCTCTCATCTCTCTATAGCTGCTGCCTCCTACGCCCACTCAAATCTAAATAGGACTGAATCATTAGAAAAGTGTTTCTTCCTATTTGGACAAAGACTCATTTTTTTCTTCAGTCTTGATACTTTTTTGTCAAAATTTTTTTTTTTTTTTTAAATTTCTGAGGTGGGCCTTTTGGAAAAACCTTCAGGTGGCTCTTCACCTTTTGCAGTGCTGTGATCTAATACTAACAATGGTACTAGCACCTAATTACTAATTACTAATGATATCTAAACAGTCTTCATTAATACGTGAAGACACTGAGGCGTGGGGAGGTTAAGTGACTTTCCCAAGCTCATGAAATAAGAACAAAGTCTTAAACCCACGGTCTCCACTCCCAGAGGCTAGCTCTGTAAAAACCTATGCCACCCCAACTCTCGAGATTGTGAGGAGTGTGATGTAAAATAAAGTCTCCACAAGTCAATGCTTGTCCATTTCTCTCTGCCACCCACTGTTCCCAAAGACTAAGCACTGAGCACATCTTCCCCAACCATCCCACTGGCTTCTAAGCACAGATTTAAGGCTTTTGGCTTGATCTCCACATAGTGTCTTCCTAGGAAGAAAACTCCTTTCCTGGGCTTCTTCCACCTTCTCATCTTGGTTTTTTCCCTGGTTTAGAAATGTCTTTGGTCTCGGGTCCCTGACACATCTCACATGCAGGTGGGCTTTGGTAGCCACAGGCTGCTGGATGCAGGAAAAGAGGGTGTCTCCCCTTCCTGGGGAAGGGTTTTTTGTTGCCTACCAATGAAGGACGGCTGGAAGAGGGTCTCTGGGCAGCGGAAGCGTTCATTGCCAATGGTGATCACCTGCCCGTCAGGCAGCTCGTAGCTCTTCTCAAGTGAGGAGGAGGACGCAGCAGTGGCCATCTCATTTTCAAAGTCCAGGGCTACATAGCACAGCTTCTCCTTGATGTCTCGGACGATCTCACGTTCAGCTGTCAAACACATGCAAATGTTACAGCACACATTAGGATTTACACAGATGCTAAAGATCTACCTGCTCCACTTCAGTCTTATGCAGAATCAGCTCCTCAGAGGACTCACAGTTTTCCAGAAGCCTTCAAGATCTTTGCTGCCTGTTCCAGATAGATCGTAGCTCAAACCCTAGGCACATTTGCCACTTTCTGGAAAGAGGTAGGTGCTGGCTCAGGACCAGTCCAGTCCTGGAGGCTCCAGTGGTGCATATGGAAGGAGATATGGGAGAAGTGGGCAGACTCCTGTGCTCTGAAGCTCTGAGCTACTAATTACATAGGAATCCCTAGGAACTTTTGGGAGGTATTTTGGGATCCCTTATGGGGAGTGGGAATGAAATTAACTCAACTTCATACTGCAAAAGGAGACTTTAATATCACCAGGGCTCAAACTTGGAGCCTGAAATACACCTCAGGCGCGTCCAGAAATCAGTACATTTGGATAATGCCAAATTGGTGAGGGCTGTATAAGCAGCTAGAGTGCAGGAACTGTCTCCATGTTTCTAGCAATGTCTGACACTGCCCTCTTGTGGAGAGAGAGTGTGTGACAGCAGCTTTGACAGACCTGCCTGGCCAGTGTTAATAATAGCTAACAATGGCTGAATGCTTATGCTCTGCTAGGTTTTCCACATGGATTATTTTATGTCACATTCCTTACAATCATGAGAGTAGGAATTTAGGCTCTTCTCCATTTTTCAGATAAAGAAACTATGGCTTATCAAGGTTAGCAAGGTTAGTAAACGTGTCCAAAGACATAGCTAGTGAGTAGAATTTGGACTTAAGTCCTGTTTAGAGTTGCCAAAGATTGCCAATCACCACACCATTTTATCTTCATCTTCTATATAGTCTTTTGTATTTGCTAATGGAGATTTTAAAATATTCAAGTATTACAACTCCGGCTCACAATACGAGGAATTATAACTGTTCTCAAAGAAATTCCCCGAAGTAGTGTATAATAATTTAGCAATTCAACATAGCCAATGAAACTATGCTTTGCTTTGTGCATAGAATCAGGCCTTGCCATCGTCAAGTCTCCACCACATCATCTCCCTGCATAGTCACAGTGGTCCTGTAAGTTCCCCTGAAGAACACGCTGCCCTACACCCCCTGGCTTTTATTTCCCACAGGCCTCACCAGTAGTCACAAAGGAATAGCCACGCTCCGTCAGGATCTTCATGAGGTAGTCGGTGAGATCTCGGCCAGCCAGGTCCAGACGCATGATGGCATGGGGCAGGGCATACCCCTCATAGATGGGCACGTTGTGGGTAACACCATCTCCAGAATCCAGCACAATGCCTGGGGGACAACGGGCATGATACAAGTCACTGCAGCAGGTGGTAGGCAGTCACTTACTGGTGTAGTAGAAGGTTTTTGGGGAAGGGGACTTTATAAGCCTTTTATTTGAAAGGAAGAAAGAAGGTGTTTGATGGAAGAGAGAAGGTGGTTCAGGGATTGGGAAAAAACAAGAAGATGGAAACCATAGAGAAATTCCTGCTAGAAATAAGATGTCTGGGGATTATCTTGAAAAGGCGAGAAGATCTTTTGAGGGCTGAGATCAATCCTACCAATTCTAACTCACCCCTTATCTGTCATGAACCACGTTTATAACCATCGAATACCATAACTCATGGTATATGCATCTGATCAAGGCTCCCATTCCAGCCACCTACCAGTTGTACGTCCAGAGGCATAGAGGGACAGCACTGCCTGAATAGCCACATACATGGCTGGAACATTGAAGGTCTCAAACATAATCTGCAAAATAATTCAAAGAGCTAAATTAGTGATGTGCCAGTCTTACAAAGAATGTTCAAAGAATGTTCCTCCATGATGAATGCAGACGGGACCATCTGGCTCTGGGCTGCAGAGACCAAGGTAATGAAGAGCCAAGGAGAAATGAAGGTACTAATGGAGAGACCATCATATCGGTGACCTGATAGAGAAGACGGGGAGTAGTAGGCATGCAAGACTTGGCCAGGAGAAATGAGGGTCTAGCTTGTGGCTCTGATCCTGGCCCTGCCTTGAGTGTGACCTGTGAGAAGTCACCAAATTGATAGTCTACTGATGTGGGCTTCATTCCAGGTTTCTCAACTATAAACAGAGGAGGGGTTTATTTATTTATTTTTAAAGTTTATTTATTTATTCTAATTTGTTATACATGACAGCAGAATGCTTTTTAATTCATAGTACACAGAGCACAATTTTTCATTTCTCTGGTTGTGCACAAAGTAGAGTCACACCATTCGTGTCTTCATACATGTACCTCGGGTAATGATGTCCATCTCATTCCACCATCTTTCAGAGGAGGGGTTTAGACTAGATGAGCTTTTAGTTTCATCCAGAATAGAAAGTCTAAGACTTATTAACTATATAAAAGCTAAAAGAAAAAGAAAAGACAATATCCAGTTTTGATTTCTCTGGCTTAAAAAAGAGACCTTTTATGCCGGGCACGGTGGCATACACCTGTAATCTCAGTGGCTAGGGAGGCTAAGGCAGGAAGATCATAACCTCAAAGCCAGCCTCAGCAACTTAGTGATGCCCTAAGCAACTCAGCAAGACCTGTCTCTAAATAAAATAATAATAATAGCTGGAGATGTGGCTTGGTGATTAAGTGCCCCTGGGTCCACTCCTCAGTACAAAAACAAAATAAAAAAAAAAAAAAAAAGAGAGACCTTTTAATACTGAGGCTTTTCAAAGCCTGATGCTCAGGCTGGTTGGGAGTACCCCTGATTGTGTGAATCTGTCTGTGCTTCCATTTCATCCATTCTCCTTTTTTTATATAGTTTTGGGGACCAACTCTCACCTTGGAATGAGGCCACTCTGGCTGCAGTGGGAAGGTTCTGCTTCATGGCATAATGAATGCCAGTGCCCCAGCTTATGCAGTTTGCCCAAGAACCAGAGCCCCTCCAGGCCACTCATGCTCCAGAAGATGTCAATGGGCCTTGATTTCCCCATCCATACTACCCTCCCTGGTCTGTGACTCAGAATGCCTGGAATTTGCTAAAGAGCCACGATTCTCAACCATTTTGCTGCCTACATGCCATTTAGAGGAACAGAAACTGTCATCAGAACAACAGCTTGTGAGTCATTCCCAGACCACTTGGGCTCTGCTGTGGAGAAGAACCTTAGGGGCACTGGTGTGAGCACCAAGAGCTCTTCTGGAAAGGGACCTGCAGGATTTATACATGTCATTCTCCAAGGGCAAAGACCATGGGTCAATTCCAGGCTCTGCCTTTCCCAGCTCTGTGATCTTGGGGAAATCATTTCATGTATCTGAGTCTTGCTTTCTTCAATCAATTAGTCAGCATAGTAATTGCTGATTCATGTGGTAGGATTTAAAGAGACAGTGCATGCAAATTGCCTGGTCCTGTGCTTGACCACAGCAAGAGCCAAATTGACATTAGATGTTGTGATTAATAGCTCTTCCAAACCAGAAACTTTCTATGGCTAGTGGGCTAGATGGGCTCCTGCTGTAAGGTCTTGAGCATCAGACAGGTAACAATAATGACAACTTTAATTATTTGTTTCATGTTCAGTTACCATGATACACGTTTATCATTTGGTCATTAGCCTTCACAGCAATCATTTGAAAATTAATAGTACTACTATGATTCCCAACTAATAGACAAGGAAACTGAGGCTCTGAGAAATTAAGCGGGCTCTTTATATAACTGATAAATGACACATCCATTTTCAAGCCTAGATCTGTCCTACTATATGTCATACTGCATTTTGAAATCACTCCTCCATAGAAATAGTAACATAATCATGTCCCTTTTTGATTAGATCTTCTAAATTTTCTTTTGCTCTTAGAGATAAAAGATCTATTTTGCACTAAATATGTGAATACCATCAAGATGTTCCTGGGCCTTTGGGATTTATTAGCTTCTGGAAAATGATCAGTCTGTTGTGGATTGCTGACTGGGGTCCTCTCTCTGTTGTCCTGTGTAGCTATATTCTAATAGGACTTTTCCCAACCCCCAAAGTCCTAGGTGCCTAAGCCATTATTTACCTGGGTCATTTTCTCCCGGTTGGCCTTGGGGTTCAGGGGTGCCTCAGTGAGCAGGGTTGGATGCTCTTCAGGGGCAACACGAAGCTCATTGTAGAAGGAGTGGTGCCAGATCTAGGGAGCAGGGGAGACAGAGGAGAAACACATGAGGTGATGTTGCAGGGCAGTGCAGACACCGACAAGGGACCAGAAGGAGCTAGATTAAACCAGGGCCAAGGGAAATGCCACAAGTCCTCCTCACATGCTCATATTTGTGCAGATGCAGAGACTTACCACAAAGAGTGTTAGTAATCTGTGCAAAGGTTCACATCTGGTAAATGACTGAGCAAAACCCCAGGCCCAGGTCTGTGAGGCTGGGTGGTGGAGTATCAAGGGCAGACTCTACAGCAAACTCTGGCTTCAAATCTCAGTTCAGCCACTTTGTAGTTAGGGAGCTTGGCAAGTTTTTAACTGTTCTCAGCTCTAGTCTCACCACTGGGTATAGGGAGATGAGAATAATTAGAATGTACCCCATCAAGTCTTTATGTGAATGAATTAAGTAAGATAACCCTGGAGTTACTAGTCAATACCTAGACCAGAGCAAATTTTATTATTATTCAACTGTATCTTCTTCACCTTCTCCTTCCATTTTAGTTACTAAAATTTTAATTTAGTAAATAAAATGAGAATGAATGCATACATGAATAAACAAATGAGGCTGACCTCAAAACCTAATTGCCACTTTTAATGCTTTTAGAGAAACTGTTCTTTGCTGCGTGTGGGTGCAGAAGAGAACAAGTCTGCCTCCTGCTTCCCTCTCTGCCCCCTAGGGCTGTCAGAAGCTGGCCTCTGTCCACAGAATCTGGGTCTTCCATTCAGGGACAGGCGTTTGGCCTTCAGGTGCTTCTAAAAAAATCTCATGCCATTTTATATACAGCGTGTTTATGTGAATGTGCTTTGGGTAAAAATACATTTACTTTATGGTTGAGAGTCCTTTTTAATGCCCAGATGCCCCAAAGAGCACATTATTATAAACAGGGCAACATGAGTTAATTTTTAAAAGCATGAAAATTCTCTACCAGCACCAGGAAGACAAGATTCACCTAGAATCCAAACAAAACAAAATAAAGACTGCTAGTGAAAGCTTATAAATTAACAAAAGTTTCCGTTTCCTTGGTTTGAAATTGTGGGTCTCTAGAAAGGAAAAGAGACACTTGACAGTTCTGCTTCTTTGATAAGAAGGGGGCAGGGCACACAAAGGTGGTTTAGGAACCTTGAAATTGAAATCCACTCTAAGGATCCGTGGAAAGCTGCTCCTGAACTCTCCACACTCATCCCACCAACTAGATGTTCGATTTGATAAACATGTTTGTCTTTTAAAATGGCCAGGGCGAGGGTGGGGGAGCAGAGCACTTAAGAACCCTCCCCCCCCCCCCCCCCCAGTCAGATTGTGTACCGTGGTTACCTTTAAAAAACTGCCAATCTGGGCTGGGGTTGTGGCTCAGTGGTAGAGCACTCGCCTAGCATGTGCAAGGCCTTGGGTTCGATCCTTAGCACCACATAAAAAATAAAAAAATTAAAGATATTGTGTCCAACTACAACTAAAAACTAAATATTAAAAAACCCCAAAAAACAAAAAACTGCCAGTCCATCTCTTCTTCCATCCTTCCAGAATTTTCTTTGGATTTAAATGTTAGAAATTAAAAAAAAAAAAATTATTCTACTAATCTCTCTCTGGGAGCATCCATTCTAAATGCTGTCAGCTCCACAGAGAAACTTCTAAAAAGCCGTTTCCCACTGATGTTAGCGTCTTCTCCTCAGTGCAAACTGCCATCTTTTCAAACCCATAATCTTAAATGAGGTGAACCAATTTATAGGCAATTTTTGTAGAGAAATATAGATGTAGGTATTAAATTACTAATGAATTCTAGAAACACTATGTGTTTTTATTTAAAATTGGTAAATGTGTATGAGAGTATGTGTGTCAAAGTGAGTTTAGTGAGCCAATAGATAAATAAAATGCCAGATGTACTTTTTAATTACATTTTTTTTGATGTTAGGGGTGGAACTCAGGGTCTCACACATGTTAAGTGTGAATGCTCTGTCATAGAGCTATATTCCCAGTCCCCTGCACTTAATATTTTTGTCACTTTCTTATCATTCCTTATGCTTATTCATTGATCACTGGTATTTCTTTAAAATACCTAATATCAAATATCAAAATCCTATAATTTAGCCTTTTCTCTTTATTAGCTCTTTTAAAAGTGTTTTGGAGATAGGGCTTCACTTAATGCAATGCAGAAAGGTCATCCTTTAAATATTAATTTAAAACTTTTGTCAGCTATGATTGTGCTTCAGTATGTGGAGGATTGTTCAAGAATGTTACCAAATCCACAACATCACAGTTCCCTTTTTCAACAGTAAAAATTATAATACTTTTTATTTAAACTCTTGGGGTAAATTAATGAAAAGCTTTCAAGAACGGGTTTCAACTCCTCTTTAGCTAAGTTGCACTGAAGGAATGCCCACACAGCCTCTGAGGAGAGTGTCAAGGAGGGTCATTCCCTAGGCCAATGCTTATGCAATGCTTGTCCTATGAGGGTGGTCCAGATGACATGAGGAATGGACTGGGCCGTTAATTCCCACCACTAGCAAAGGGCTGCTTCTCTAATCAATAAAACTCCTCCCCTCTAAGTTGTTTACACAATCTGGTAGGCAAGGGATTTTTTTGTTTTGTTTTGTTTTAGAAGAAGTATTTCAGTGTTATTTTTCCCTATTGAGTAATAGTCTAGAATAAACATTAACAAATAAAAGTGCAATTGAGAAAAATGAGCCAGTTATGTTCCCCAGAAGTAGCATGTTGTTTTGAATCAGGGACCGTGGGAATTATGCAAGCTGGGGTCTCAACCTGGAGCAAACTTCCTGGTACCTTTTCCATGTCGTCCCAGTTGGTGATGATGCCATGTTCTATCGGGTACTTTAAGGTCAGGATTCCTCTTTTGCTCTGTGCTTCATCACCTACGTAGCTGTCTTTTTGTCCCATTCCCACCATCACTCCCTGAAAAGGTTCAACACAGCACAAGTCAGTTTCTCCCAACACTTGCAAATTGGTTGCAACCAGCTCACAGAGGGTTAAAACATTGAGACAGAGGCTCCTTTTTAGTAGCAATAATATGAGTCATTGTCACTTTGCAAAGTTCCTTAGTTGACAGGAAACAGACAAGAACCAGCCTTTAAGCAGCAGAGGATGCTGTGGGAGTGGCAACTTTACACTGTGTTTTTTTTTTAACTTATATGGTCTTTTTTTTGAGTGTGTGTGCTGGGGATTGAACCCATGGCCTTGTGTATGCAAGGCAAGCACTCACCAACTGAGCTATATCCCCAGCCCATAAACTTCTATGTTTCTTGATGAGATCTGTTAGGGCAGAGATTATGTCTGTCTTGCTCACCATCGTAGCAGACTGCTATTAACTATCATAGCAATCAACTATTATAATTGCCTAAACTAGTTAGCTGCTTTTTTCTAAATCATTAAGGTGATGTTTTAAAAAAAAATCCTCAGTGGATTTTAAATTGCTCTGGAGTGACTGTTTTAGAATTGCAAAATAACTATGGCCACTATAAATCATATAATATTTGTCTTGTATAAAATATGTCCATTGTGCAGAGTTCAAGAAAAAGACAGATTTCATCCATCAGAAGAGGCTTCTGTGACTTATTCTCATGAATATACACCAAATGGAGAGCCATAACCATCAAGCAGATGGGCTTAATACACAAAATACATTTTGGATGTGAGGTAGAATTTCTGAGATGAAACCACCTAGTTTTTACCAAATGGCTGCCACCAATATTTTGTTTATACATAATATGTAAAATTACTTAGTGACTATGAAGATGTATTTTAATGACAACTAACATCACATAAAAAGACATTGATATCAATGTTGTTTTCATCTAATACCAAGCTCTCTGAAGTTGAGTGACCTGGATCTTTATTTTAGGTTCTTTTCAAAGAGTAGATATGGTTTACATAGGATAACTCAAAAGTGTTTATGATGATGATGACAATGATGATATTTAGACAAAAAGAACATATGAAAAAGGGTCCGACTATATCTGATAGACACCCACCCACCAAACAATCTGTATTTTATATGAAACTGGCATTTACTCCTAGACATGGATCATTCTATCTATCTACCTATCTATCACTCTATCTATCCATCTCTCTATATATTTTTGTGGCACTGGAGATAGATCCCAGGGTTATCACACATGTTAGGAAATCACTCTACTGCTGAGCCATATCCTCAATCCATCACCGATATATTTTTAACAGGTTGCTGAACAGAGAGCAACAGACAATTTGTGGGTACACATGGGCAGAGAGGGATCTAACCTATAGCCCTATTCTCTTGCTGTTCTCAGAATTTCACTCACCTGATGTCTGGGACGTCCCACAATAGATGGGAAAACAGCCCTGGGAGCATCGTCCCCAGCAAAGCCAGCTTTACAGAGCCCAGAACCATTGTCACACACCAGGGCAGTGCTGTCCTCTTCTTCACACATGACTGGAACGGATTCACAGGTTTCTACATAAAACAGGGAAGAAGCAGTAGGTGTAAAAGAGCTGTTATTAAGCACTTACCGGATGGCTTCCATCTCCAGAGTGGGTTTGGGCCCCTCCTCTGTTTCAGGCTTTCCCCTGACTTATCTATCACACAACCTTTTTACCTTAAAGTACTGTAAGGTTTTGATATCCAAAACTCTGACTTACATGTTTGTATCACTGGCCCTCAACACAATGACTGGCACATCACATATTCTTACCAGCACTTTAAAGATAGGCTGAGCTTCCAGCCTCTGAGACTCAGTCTTCACAGGGACACATTACATACTATTTAGGAAGCACCTAGAACTTTCTGTATTAACCCAAACATATTTTTCCAGATATGTTATACTTTTCAATTTTTTTTTTCCTAAAAAACACTCCCCAAAATTCTGGGAGATGAACAGCATGTGAAACTTTGGAAATGTTAAACTGCTTAGATGTTTAGTTAACATAAATGTTCAATATAATGGTCTCTTTTTGGATCCTGAGGACTTTTACTTGACCTTCAGAGCAATGTTAAAATGAGTCAAGATTTCCTAAGATGGTACTTAAAATTTTAGGCATTACACTTATTCTTCATTAATAAAAGTCACCTTTAATCTAAAAATTCAACAAGCAAGGGTGAGTCTATTGAAATTACATTTCACGTAGTAGAATATTTGCTGCCATTAAGAAAGATAAATAAAAAGAAGATGACAGAATATTCTTATGTAGTAATAAAAGGTTAGAGAAAGTAGTATTTTTGTCCATAAAGATTACATATACTTATCAAGATATTGACTGCGGATATTTGGAAATGGTTGCTTTTGTAGCAGTTTGTAACTATCTTCCCTGAGTTCTGCTATATTCTCTAATTTTATAAATTCCTTTGGTTATAAAACAATATTTTAAACAGCCCACTTTTAAGCTTGGATTCTTTGATGAAGTCTGGAAGCAGAAGTACCAATACAACTGTGTGAAACTGAAGGCGTAATAGTAGATGTTTTCATCCAGTGCTCTCAGTTTTACAAGTGTAAAGTGATTTGTTCAAGGACACACAGGACATTGAGGCAGAGCCCAGCCAGATACCAGGTGCCTGTTGGCCACCTTGTGCTTCCAATCCAAGAGTCTTTACATTTTCCTAACAGAATTCGAGAAATAGTCTGTGAAGAGAAGTACTATCAGAGTTCTCTGCCTGGCATTGATGCCGTTGAGATCTCAAGATATCAAGTTGAGCAAGATGATTCTTCTGTTTTTATTTTATTTTATTTTGCAGTGCTGGGGATCAAATTCAGGGCCTTGCCTTGTGCATGCAAGGCAAATGTTTAACCACTGAGCCACATCCCCCGTTCAGATTCTTCTTTTAAATGGGTGAACTTATTGTTACTCCAGACCTACGTATAAATGGCGATTCTGTTAAGGCAATTTCTAGGAAGTAGGAAAAAAAAGTTTTCTTTTTTTTCTATTAATGATCTGGAGTTTTGCCAGATCATTCTCACAAAATCAATGCTATATCATCTCAAATGGTCAGAAATTCCAGAGCAGAGCTCCATGTAGTATAGTCCTTTGAAAAGAATATAAACCTCAGTTGAGATGACATATTTTAAGATCAAGGCTTACAAAATTGTCTCCAACTGACAAGGAACTCCAGGCTCAGGGCATTGAAGTGGCTTGTCCAAGATCCACAGACTGACACACTGAGGACTCTGGAGATTACATAGTGACCGTGACTGCTAGGATTTGCCTCCAGTCTCTACGACTTAAAAGTTATGTGATTTAGCAAGTTATCCAACATCTCAAAATTAGAGTCTTCTGAACTATAAAACAGCCAAAATATTGGTAGATAGCTCAAAGAGTTCATATGAAGACTACATTTTTAAAGGAATATTTAAAATAATAAATTGTTCATATACATTATAAATTCTCCATAAATGTCTGTTTCATCATAATCGCCATTATTATATGACTATCATCATTATTATGATATTTTTGTTTCTAATCTTTGGTTTCTTTTCACACAACTCAAGATCAGAATGAAAATCTTCAATGTGTGTATTCCACTTGCAAAATGGAAAATGGAATTTATAAATGGCTTGTTCTCCCTCCACCCAGCTTCCCTTCCCTTTTCAGACACTGATTATTTGGCTTCCTTCCTAACAGATCCAGAGACATTCCAACACAGGTAGGAACTATAAGGGAGATGCAACAGAAGAAGCACTGAGTGCTGAGCATATGTCAAAGGCAGCCGGCCGCAGGGGATCAGCAGGCAGGCTGTGGATGTGCTAAGCCTAGTCTCCAAATGGACAGTAACAGCTGATCACAGGATAAAATATTTAAAATTAGGATGCTCTCTGAAAATAGGAAGAGATATTCCTAATAAGCCTTTTGTTGGGCAGTGATGTTTTGGGGGAAGTGTTTGAATATACTCAGTTTGTAGGCTGATCCCATAGCATTAGCAAGAATGCAGAAAGGAAAAAAAAAAAAAACCTCAAAATTCAGTAAATATATTTATATTTGGTGAAAAATGTCCAGGAAGAATTTTAGAATCTCCAAAAGGAGCACTGTCATCTGTAAGAAGTCTGTGTCCCCAGAGAGAGCTGATTTGATGGTTTACAAACAACTCTTATCAAACCTGAAATGAGCAGCTTGGTTCGCAGCAAAGCATTTCCTAATTAGGTAAAACATGTTCTCTCCAATGTCTGCTTTTGGAACTGCACCCGGGTCAGGGGGTTTGCTCCAACCAAGTACAGTCCATCTTGTGCCAAAAATGAGTAGTTAGATGGGGCGGGGAGAAGGGAGGAATGGTACTTTTCCCAGCTCCTTGGTCTTGAAACACAAACCATATTTAGTCATGAGTCACAAACGGAAGGAAAATCTCAGCGTGAAAACTGTGGTCCAGTTCTGGTTGACGCTGCCAAACCCTGATTTACAGCAAAGTTCTGGGGTGGCAGGGCCGGCTCCACAGTCACACTTGCCTCACCAGGCTGGGGGGGAACTTGAGGCTGAGAGAAATGCAAACCAGACCTCCCTCTGCTGGGACACACAGCTGTCAGATGCAAGCTCGGCTCCCTCCCTCTTTCTCTGCAGAGAAAAATTTAAGTTGGTTGCTTGCTGAGTTCTGCCGAAAATGACCAATGATGCAGATCCTAACAAATAAGTTCACAGATACACTCAAGAGACACACATTTCCAATATAAGATACTACTAATTAGATCCGGGGGAATCCACAAGCAATACATAAATTCAGTCAAAATCAAATTACCCTCTGTTCACTTCTAAAATCCACTTCCAAAAGCATCAGCTGCACCTAAAATACAGTCCAATGAAAATTCCACACTAAATTTGAACTATAAAATAAATTCCGGAGTTTCCACTGCCTAAATATAAATAAATGTGTAATTTACTATAAAGAGCTAGTCTTTATCCCTAGAATGTGCTACAAAATCTGAGCTGTTGGTTTAGTACAAACAGCTTTCACAGGTGATATGCATGAATAAAATTCATTCCATCTTCCTCTCTGCTTCCTCCACCATCCAACCTGCATCTAAACCTTGTCTCAGATGTTAAATCACGAGAGCCAAAAGCTATAATCATATTAATGGTACGATCTTCATTCAAAAATATCAGATTGCATGAGCCTATCCAAAACCTTGCAGACAATGTCTGATTATATTGGATAATACAAGAGCCAGTGGAATCTCTTAAGTCACATCCCTGGGCGGGTACCACTTACCCTGATGGTGCTTGGCTCGGCTTCTCCACTCTGGGTGGGTGGTGTCCAGGGAAGCTGAACACTGAAGTGTTATATAGCCCCTTGTTCTGCTCCCCTCCCACTTGCTTCCCAAACAAGGAGCAAAGACGGACTGGAGCCCATCGTTCAGTCTAACACAACCATATAGGGACCTCAGCACAAAACTCTCTCATCTGGGTGGCTGGAGGCTGGAGTCTCTTCCACTGCATTCCACTGCTCTGCTTGTGAAATGGGAGGCAGCTCAGCTGCCTGTGGGAGATAAACAGTTCAAGTCTTCAGAACAACTGCTGGAGTGCCCAGAGACACTGGGCTAGTATTATAGGGCAGATGCAGGCACAGTTTGCACATTCCTCAGGAGATGTCAGCCTGCTGTCTGGCTGGCCTTTCAGGCTACTTCCTAGGGAACTTAGAGCAGAACGGGGCTGCCTCTGACTAGCAGGGACCTTTAAAAACTCTCCTGCAAAGGAGGCTTGCCACAAAGAAAGCTATGAGTTCAGTTGCCCACAGATAGGTAGAGGGAGTCTTTATGGCAGTCACCCCATGTTAACAAATCGAGTTCTTGAGTGGTGCTTAATGGAAACAAGAGTTGAGGTATAGATACAGAACTAATGGGCCCTGTTTCAAAGATAGAATGTAAGCTTTACCATAACCACTTTAATCCTTTGGTACATTAGATCTGTCTATTATATTTTCACTGAGCAATCTAGCAGCATGATAAGGAGGCATCCTTTGGCCAGAAAGACTACCAGGCACTCTGTCACAAAATTAGTTGGAGAGAAAAGAGAAGGTGGGGAGGAAGCCTCCTCCTCTCTCCCATGAACTCTTTTGACAGGAATACAGATCAGGGGACCCCATCATTTCTCAAAAACATTAGCTGTCATTCTCAAGCATCAGTGAATAACTTCAATGGCTTTATGCTTCTCTACTACTTTCCTCCAAGCCAAGATTATAAATCAATTCATAATAGAAATATTTTTGATGGATACCATGAGTATTTCTGGACTGTTGACATGTGAGAAAAGTTCCAGAATGAAAGGCCTTAATTTACAGCTGTGATCAGCTGTTCACTCATTTGATTTGTGGTAGACACATACATATGTGTATATTTATCTTTGAGGAATTTCGTTGTTGGTAATTAGAATTTTTTTGTGGGAGGAGGGACTGGGGATTAAACCCAGGGATATTTTACCACTGAGCTACATCCCCAGTCCTTTTCATTTTATTTTGAGACAGAGGCTCACCAAGTTGCT